AAGATTTTATTGTTTCATTTACAGAAACATTATTTAAATTATTGCTTATCTGTGTAAGCCGTTCTATATCGACTGATAAATAATTTCGGAATATATCAACTTTTGAGTCATCCCACGCTAAAAATAGTTCATGGGTTGAACTTGGGTCACGTGGATTTTGTTGTGGGCGTATTCTCTCAATACAAAAATGAAGAGCATTGTGATCAGATAAATCATTTGGTTTACATATTTCAAATTCTTTAATATATTGAAAATCTTCATTACTTAATAAGAGATAATCAACTACGCTCATTCCATTATGACCAATAAATGTGTATTCACCTATAGATTTATCAAGGTGTAAACGACCGTTTGCTATTAATAGATTTGTCGCCTTACAAAAATCAATTAAACGTGTCCCATGTGCGTCAAGCACGTGGTCTTTGTTTACCCTTGTACAATTGTAATCATTCGCTAATAATAATACATTACTATCTAAATAACGATCAAATTCAATAAAATCTAATGCCAATGCCGTGCGACTATTCATGTCACCTGTAACAAGGACTTTTCCTAACATTTTATACTTTTCTATATCTATTTCTAATTGATTAAACATATCAATATCAAATCTGTTCAATACTTGTGAGTCACGTGGAGGGATATATGTGCAACAAAGATAAACGTCTGTATCACAAGTAATAATAGATTTACAAATTTTTAACCAGCATATACCACTTTGATTTTTGCTAATAATACTAATTTTGTCTTTCAAACTACATTTATAATAAATAGAAATCCCACCAGAGTGTCTTCCTTTTCTAGAATTTATAGATTTGTTTCCATATAAGTGTTCCGTACAATAGCCATCGATATTTAAATTATAATGGGAGTTTTTTGACAGCCACGTTTCTGTTAATAAAATAATGTCATTTTCCTTTATTATTTCTATAAAGTCAGGATCACAAAGTTTTCGAACCAGTCCATTTATATTCCAAGATAAAATGTGCAATTGCTCTTCTTGACACCTCTAAGAAGCGCTATGACTGGAACCACCTGTGTACTCCGTGTTATTCACGTATAATTTCTCCCCAACGAATCGGACATATTTTCCTTTCTTTTTTTCACTCTGGTAGACTGTACTAAGTTCTTTCCTCGCATCTCGCCACTCTTTGGGTATTTTCTCCAACACCATATCTATGTTGCTTAAGGACATCCTTCATATGGAAAGCTGTATTCCTTACTATTTCTCTGTGACTATACTTGTGAAATTTCACAACAATCGGTCTTGGATTTTCGGGTTTGGTTAGTGTACCAAGGCGATGGGCTCTATCAAACTCTATCTCAGTACTGATTTTTAATGTATTTTTAATAAATTCTTTTACAATAGAGGCACATGAATTAGGGTCTGTTGCTGTATCATATGTTTGTGGCGAAACATTAATATTTTGGTCAGTGTTACTTGTAGAGGAACTTGTTAATAACATGGATGCTTCCGGTGATGTGGTATGTACTTCCGGTAAGCCATAAAATATTAGATTGTCCTTCATATTTCTAAATTCGTTGTCCAAGATGCGTGTTCTAAGTTCTTCCTGGGTTTTACTTAATGTTTTGATTGTAGAATTTAACGTGTCACATGATTTTGCATGGTCTTTACACTATCTTTAGTTGACGCTAATTCTGTTGTTTGCTTATCATACTTTTCACTGATAAATGTACTGTTGTTTTCTACATCGCAAACTCGCGACTCTATACTTTTTACCTTAATATCTAGATCATTGAGTTTCAAGCACATTGAGTTTACTACTTTTTCAATATTGTCAATTTTATCAAGTCGGGAGTCGATCTTATCAAGACGGGAGTTCATAGTTTCCATCATAGCTATAGCCCATGGTGGAGTTTGGTTTGTACCTTGATTCATCATTGGTGTACCTGGCGGTAGTGGACCAAGATATTGTTGATTATACTGATACGGAGGTGACTGCAATAATTGTCCAGTAAATGATTGTTGAAAAGTTCCATTAGTACTCATTTCACTATTTATTTTACTTACTGTTGGTGTATCGTATACAAATATGTCACTACTGTCCTAGGATGATAACTTGAGCCTTTGTTTACATAACAAAGACCAATAACAATGCGAAAAATAGGTTAGGCAGATCAATGCCACAATCTATAAAAATGAAAATAAAACTACATGTTATCATATGTCTTGTTAGCGCAGTAGGTAGAGCAACCGTGTCAGTAATGAGTTTATCCGTACAGACAGAAGTTCGACTACTGGTACATTTTTTTTTACCTCAGAACAGTCAATTGTTTGACCGGTTTTATGCATACATGAATATGAGATCGAATATTTTATTTCACTGTGATCAAAAAATACAAAAAGAAAAAAGAATAGAAATAAAAAATAAATATATACTATAAAATATATATCATAAGAAGAAAACAAAAAGGAAAACGAAAATAAATGAATAATTATAATGATAAAAAAACAGAGCAAGAAGAAAAACCTGTGGTTATAAAATGGCACTACTTGGGGTTCGAACCTATGAGAACAAAACTCTAAAAGTTACAAATAATTTCGATCTACCGACAGAACCATAACGGTAATACGCAAACGATACTGTAAGAATAATGCTATATAGTATTTGTAGGAAACAGAAATCACTTTATTTCATATTTGCACTAAATACGACATAATAATTATATTTTGTTAAAATATACATTACGTATATGTACATGTATATATTTCAACCTATGATGCATAGTTTAATACATACTTGAAACAAATTATGATTTTTCGTACATCATATTTTGACTACATTTTTAAAATTTTAACCAATATATAACACATAGAAGAAAATTCATTAAGGTACTTAAATAAAATATTATATCAAAATAAATTGAGAAATATACAGTATATATCAATTGAATTTTTTATAATTAATATGTATCATTTGTAATATTGACATCTTGAAAAAACATTTTATCAAGTATTTCTCGACCTCGCCTGTAATATCACCAACGGCAATTTGACACCTTCAATGTTTCCCTTCTTTGTGTAACTGGTCAGCAGTTTTCGATAATCCTTCTTTGTTTAACTGGTCAGCAGTTTCCTATATATTCTATATCGTCAGCTAATTCGTCAGCAGTTTAGTGCGACCCCTTCCGTGATCGCACCGTTTGTCGGTGAGTTAGTAAATTCTGACCAAGCACCGGTAGACGCACGACAATGCGATACGATATTATTCCAAATGTCGCTTCGCATTGTCGAGTGTCGCTTCGCGTTGTCGAGTATCGCTTCGCGTTGTCGAGTGTCGCTTCGCATTGTCGAGTGTCGCTTCGCAATGTTGAGCGTCGCGGTGTAAAAATCATAAAAATAACGCGACATTTACTCGACATTTTAAAAATGTCGCTTCGCGATGTCGAGTGTCACTTCGCATTGTCGAGCGTCGTATCGCATTGTCGCGTTGTCGTTTTCGCATTGTCGAGTGTCGTGGTATGCACTTCTACCAACCTCGACACTCGACAATGCGAAGTGACAATGCGACAACGCGAAGTGACATCGCGACAACGCGAAGTGACATCGCGACAACGCGAAGCGACGCTCGACAATGCGAAGCGACACTCGACAACGCGAAGCGACATTTCTTAAATGTCGCCCTTTTTTACCGCGACATTTCTAGGCGACAGTGCGACATATCGTTTGACACTGTCGAGCGTCGCTTCGCATTGTCGCATATCGCTTCGCGTTGTCGAGCGTCGCTTCGCATTGTCGCGATGTCACTTCGCATTGTCGTGTGTCTACCCTTAGACGCGACGGACGACATTCTAAATGGCACGATAAGGACACCGTATTGAACTATCATAGCAGTTTTATTTACTTACAAATTTGATTCACACTTGCACAAAAGAACACAAAATGACAAAACTGACATCATGAATTATTCTGATATGACTTTAACATTGAATTGACCTTGATTCTCAATGTCATATTATTGAAATTTGCTTAAATTGTCATTTACAGATTTGATTCATGTTTGGACATAAGACAACAGTAGTGACATTCGCGCCCCCCATCCCCCCACCGCCCGAATGTCACTACTGACCATATATGACAAAACCAGCATGTTGAATTATTATGACATGACATTGACCTTTAGTTGACCTTAACTGTCAGGTTAACTTAACTTACTTTGGTATTTATATATGGATTTCATTCACTCGTGAAGTGGCCAAAAATAGCACTTTTTACAAAACTGACAATGTGACCTAGGATTGTATCAGATGAATTTTCAATTTAACTTTCAATGACATTCATTTTTATTCTCAATGACAACATTTATTGAGCAAACAGTACTATTATGAATGATTAAGCTGCACACCAGATGGGAGAACAAACTTTTGAGAAAAAACTTGAGAACATATATATTACATATATTACGTAGAAGTATAAAAAATGTATAGATATACACGCTTCATATGTTCCTGGATAATATGACTAAATTTATTGCTTTTTCGGTACCGTTACTAACGAAGGTAGACCTGTTTAATGCAGATTGTATATGGTAAGCTAAATTATGTATCTGATGAATTAAACTGTATTACCAGCGCGAGAAATGATATTTCCCAAATAAAAAATGTTGATTTAACATTTAAAAAAAAAAAAAAATTGAATGAATGAATGAAAAAACAAGCCTGTAGCAATTGACCAAAGCCCTTTTGTAATTTAATCCTTGACCAAGTGTGCCGTAAATAAAAAAAAATATCGTCATTGTCCGCTGAATGACCCATTTACAACAAAGGTTTATACCGGTCTATTGCTCTCACTCTTTTACCAAATGAAATAAGACAAATAAAAAATAGCAAAATCCTTCAGTAATACTAGTTTTATAACTTCAACTTAGATTTTTTTTTTGTAAAAAAAAAAGCACTTTATGTGTTCATTGTAAGCTGATAAACATTAGTCAGACACATAAAAAACACACACCGGAAATTAGCTTTGTATTTTTTTTCGTCTGTAATTTGAAAGGTTTGATCACGTGACAACATTTTTTTTCTTTTTATCAAGCATAAACGTCTGGGTTTACCAACGTTTATGGTTGGTTTTTGCCTGCAAAATACATTATTGTGTGTTTTTTATGATTTTGTGAATAACTTGAATATTAGATTTCGGAAAACAAAATATGTGTGCAGATTTGAAATGCATTTTAGTGAATGCGGATTGAGGAAAATTTAGACAGGTAAGTCGTATTATTCATATGTTATCTTTATCAAAGGTAGTAACTTTTATAAAATGTTAGACGGTAAATATTCCTCCAAATACAGTATGGTAAACAAAGTAAAAGTATCATTTTGATTTTCGTCTACATACTCATTTTTTTCCCTAGCAATGAGTTGTGCTCGTGAATTTCGTGCTGTTTGGATCCAACTATCTATTAAAAAAAACCTCAACACGCATTTAAAAATGAGAGATATTCTTTTGCAAGGCAGACCTGAGACACCACAATATTCATGCAGTGACCTTTCCTCGGTAACGGACTATATAGTGCAAATCAACTTGACTGGTATTTGTTTTAATTAGAAGCACTGACGTATCACACGCCCTATTTGCAACAGGAATAGCACTAAACTTCGAGTGGTGCATTATTTCATTTTTTTTATTTTAGCTCGATTATACGAAGTATATGGAGAACTGTCCTACTCACCCCGGCGTTGGCGTCCGCGTTTAAGATTTATTAAAGTGAAATATTCTTTACTTCTTTATTTCTTAAGGTACCTACTCTACGTTCTTCATCACCAACCACATAGTATGTGGCAAGGTTCATAACTCTAGAAGCAGTCTTTTCAGAATAATCTGCCCTTGGACTTAAAATTTTAATAGTAAAAATGCTATCTTTTTATCTTTTTACTATGAATTCTTTATTTCATTGGGAATCTACATGAAATATGTCCCATATTATCAACAACATCTTAATGTATGTTGTAGGATAGGAGATATGATAGCAATGTTGAAGGATAGGTGATATGATAGGTATGCTGTAGGATAGGTGATATAATAGGTATGTTGTAGGATAGGTGATTGATAGGTATGTTGTAGGATAGGTGATATAATAGGTATGTTGTAGGATAGGTGATATAATAGGTATGTTGTAGGATAGGTGATATAATAGGTATGTTGTAGGATAGGTGATATGATAGGTATGTTGTAGGATAGGTGATATAATAGGTATGTTGTAGGATAGGTGATATAATAGGTATGTTGTAGGATAGGTGATATAATAGGTATGTTGTAGGATAGGTGATATAATAGGTATGATGTAGGATAGGTGATATAATAGGTATGTTGTAAGATAGGTGATATAATATGTATGTTGTAGGATAGGTGATATAATAGGTATGTTGTAGGATAGGTGATATAATAGGTATGTTGTAGGATAGGTGATATAATAGGTATGTTGTAGGATAGGTGATATAATAGGTATGTTGTAGGATAGGTGATATAATAGGTATGTTGTAGGATAGGTGATATGATAGGTATGTTGTAGGATAGGTGATATAATAGGTATGTTGTAGGATAGGTGATATGATAGGTATGTTATAGGATAGGTGATATAATAGGTATGTTGTAGGATAGGTGATATAATAGGTATGTTGTAGGATAGGTGATATGATGGGTATGTTGTAGGATAGGTGATTTAATAGGTATGTTGTAGGATAGGTGATATAATAGGTATGTTGTAGGATAGGTGAAATAATAGGTATGTTGTAGGATAGCTGATATAATAGGTATGTTGTAAGATAGGTGATCGGATAGGTATGTTGTAGGATAGGTGATATAATAGGTATGTTGTAGGATAGGTGATATAATAGGTATGTTGTAGGATAGGTGATATAAAAGGTATGTTGTAAGATAGGTGATATAAATATGTATGTTGTAGGATAGGTGATATAATAGGTATGTTGTAGGATAGGTGATATAATAGGTATGTTGTAGGATAGGTGATATAATATGTATGTTGTAGGATAGGTGATATGATAGGTATGTTGTAGGAAAGGTGATATGATAGGTATGTTGTAGGATAGGTGATATGATAGGTATGTTGTAGGATAGGTGATATAATAGGTATGTTGTAGGATAGGTGATATAATAGGTATGTTGTAGGATAGGTGATATGATAGGTATGTTGTAGGATAGGTGATATAATAGGTATGTTGTAGGATAGGTGATATGATAGGTATGTTGTAGGATAGGTGATATAATAGGTTATGTTGTAGGATAGGTGATATGATAGGTATGTTGTCGGATAGGTGATATAATAGGTATGTTGTAGGATAGGTGATATAATAGGTATGTTGTAGGATAGGTGATATGATGGGTATGTTGTAGGATAGGTGATATAATAGGTATGTTGTAAGATAGGTGATATAATAGGTATGTTGTAGGATAGGTGATATAATAGGTATGTTGTAGGATAGGTGATCTGATAGGTATGTTGTAGAATAGATGATATGATAGGTATGTTGTAGGATAGGTGATATAATAGGTATGTTGTAGGATAGGTGATATAATATGTATGTTGTAGGATAGGTGATATAATATGTATGTTGTAGGATAGGTGATAAGATAGGTATGTTGTAGGATAGGAGATATGATGATAGGTATGTTGTAGGATAGGTGATCTGATAGGTATGTTGTAGGATAGGTGATATGATAGGTATGTTGTAGGATAGGTGATATGATAGGTATGTTGTAGGATAGGTGATATGATAGGTATGTTGTAGGATAGGTGATATGATAGGTATGTTGTAGGATAGGTGATATAATAGGTATGTTGTAGGATTGGAGAAATGATAGGTATGTTGTAGGATAGGTGATATGATAGGTATGTTGTAGGATAGGTGATATGATAGGTATATTGTAGGATAGATGATATGATAGGTATGTTGTAGGATAGGAGATATGACAGGTTTGTTGTAGGATAGGTGATCTGATAGGTATGTTGTAGGATAGGTGATATGATAGGTATGTAACATGATAGATGATATGATAGGTATGTTGTAGGATAGGAGATATGATATGTTTGTTGTTGAATAAGAGATATGATAGGTATGTTGTAGGATAGGAGATACGATAGGTATGTTGTAGGATAGGTGATCTGATATCTATGTTGTAGGATAGGTGGGTGATCTGATAGGTATGTTGTAGGAAAGGTGATATAATAGGTATGTTGTAAGATAGGTGATATAATATGTATGTTGTAGGATAGGAGATATGATAGGTATGTTGTTGGATAGGTGATCTGATAGGTATGTTGTAGGATAAGTAAAATAATAGGTATGTTGTAGGAAAGGTGATTTGATTGGTATGTTGTAGGATAGGTGATATGATAGGTATGTTGTAGGATAGGAGATATGATAGGTATGTTGTAGGATAGGTGATATAATAGGTATGTAATACAATAGATGATAAACTAGGTATGTTGTAGGATAGATGATCTGATAGGTATGTTGTAGGATAGGTGATATAATAGGTATGTTGTAGGATAGGGGATATAATATGTATGTTGTAAGATAGGTGATATAATATGTATGTTGTAGGATAGATAATAAACTAGGTATGTTGTAGGATAGGTGATATAATAGGTATGTTGTAGGATAGGAGATATGATAGGTATGTTGTAGGATAGGTGATATGATAGGTATGTTGTAGGATAGGAGATATGATAGGTATGTTGTAGGATAGGTGATATAATAGGTATGTAATACAATAGATGATAAACTAGGTATGTTGTAGGATAGGTTATACGATAGGTATGTGATAAAATAGGTGATATGAAGGGAAGGTGATAGAATAGGATATGATAGGAAAGGAAAAAAATGATAAGTCATGAGACAGCTCATGGGATAGGTGCCAATTTAGGTGATAGCATAACATAGTATAGTATAGTTTAGTATATAGGATAGAATTTCGAATCATACTTGGTGTGTCCAACTTCCTTATAGAGAAAGTGTCCTTTAAGTTGTTTTATTTTATCATATAAATATTGTTTGAAGGCATGGTCTCATCTGGCTATACGATTTTGATGTTGTTTTTACTCCAGTAACTATTTGAGTTATTTGTCAAAACATTACAGTGTGTTATAATTTATTGTTTAGTACATTCTAGTACACTCAATAACGCGTGTTCACATCATTGGTTTATACATGTACAGAATTTATTTTAGGTCGATTGTGTAGGAAGCTATAAGCTTATAGACACACTTTCGAATCCGTTCCTGGAACCAGCCAGTACTGAGAAATAAGTGTAAAGTTTCTTGCTCAAGGAAACAAACGACTTGCCCCTGACTGGGTTTTGAACACATATGCGGCTAGCGATCATTAGATTACTAGTCCGACGCGTTAACCACTCGGCCATGCCGCAACTATTTCTCAAAATTATAACTCATATTTGAATTATTTAAAAATTGTCGCTTAAACTATTTAATTTGTACTGATGTAATGTAATGATTGTTGATTGTCTTATTCTGTTCAAGCCCCTCACCGCTATGGGTTCGAATCCCGACAGGGACTTTGGATTCTTTCATGTAAGGAAGCTATCCAGCTAGCTTACGGTACGTCGGTGGTTCTACTCAGCCTGAAATAATGCACGGAAGGGAACCTGAGGCCTTCCTCCACCTGTAAAACTGTGTCGGTGTGACGTAAAACCCATATTAAAACAAACAAACAAAAATTCTATTCAAATACAAAGTGCAAATATATATTTTTGCATTAATGGAGAATGAAACAAAATTAAACGAGTATGCGCCGTCGTTGCACTTTTTATAAATCAACGGCTCAGAGTGCAATGTAAAAATAGCTGCCTACAGTAACGTCCCCCATATCGTAAAACCGGCGCCAGTGATGACACATTGCTACAGTGATGATTATATATTACTAACTACATGTAGGTTATAAATTTGGTTGGCATATTCATATTATTACCAGTCCAAAATTACCTGATAGTATCTCCAGTCTATGGACAGTTACGTAAGTCTATAGCAATGGAATTGTAATTGAAAACCTACCTGCACTAAACGGTTCATCACTGCAGCAATCTGTCATCGTTGGCGCCGGTTAGGCGGTGTGTCCCGGTAATTTCATAAAATGAAAAAATGCACTTGCAAAAAAAAAAAAAAAAAAAAAAAAAAACAGAAAAGGGAAATATTTTTTTAGTTTTTTTTTCAATGCCTTATACGTGTATATTGAAAAGCTTTTGGACTTAATGACTAACATAATTTTTTTTCAGTTTATCACAATGAATAAAGATGAGGCAAACTGCGCGCAGGTGACCAGATTTCTAGTGTCTCCAGTTACTGCCAATCAGCCAAGTTTTGTTTTGCAACCTAACACTGTCATAAAGGCAATACCTATAAGTGTCGAGTCGTTACTGTTTCAAGCAACGACCACACTGCCGAACTCTGTTCCAACACAACCTAGTCATTCTGTAAACGTATTTCAAGATTTTAAGACTAATGATGAGAGAGTTCCAGCCAAAGGCAGACGTCCGAAACATATTGTACCGGAAGTTGATGGAAGGTATGAGTCAGGACCGGCCATGTTGGCAGATAGACCAATGTGTCGTTCCTGCGGCAAGTACTTCATGAGTCGTCAGCAGCTGAATCAGCACATGTTAGTGCACACGGACGTAAGGAAATACAAGTGTAGTTATTGTGATCGTACGTTTAAACAGCCATCGCATCTACATCAGCATCATCGTATACATACAGGTAACTTATTACATGTGTATTATACCACCATGTCCACATATATACCCATGCATTTTCTAAATGTATCAAACAATCAACAAATCAAGTCAGTCTGTAAGTCATGTACATTGTATTTAGGCTCCATTTCTGAACTTTCCGACGGACTGGAAGAAAAGCAAATTTTGCATACTGTCCGTTGTTGTTATTTCTTTTGTGTTTTGTTTTAGCTCACAAGAACCGAATGTTCAGGGTGAGCTATTAGTATCACAGGGGGGTGCTCCGGCGTCCGTCGTCATGTGTCAACATTCATCTTTGTCTCTGAAACTGTTGGGCAGATTTACTTCAAATTTAGTCTGTAGCATCTTTGTGTCAGACAGTCACACTTTTGGCCTCTTTTATCGGTACGCCAGAACTGAAAAAGAAAGAAATCTGTAAACATGATGTTACATCTTCTTCTACTGAACTGATACTTGATTTGTTTGTAGCTTTCTTATTTTTTTTTTTTTTTTTTGCTTTTGCTTTTTAAGTCATATACTTCAAATACTTGTTAACATGAACCACAACTGTCACTTTATGTATTATTTTCAATACAAGCAGACATATCATTATAGAGACTACCGTGGGCACCATGTTAAAATCGTTGACTTTAAACCACTTTTCCCTCACCACTGTAGGTTCGAATACGCCTGGTCTCTTGGATTCTAGCCATCTAGCTAGCATACAAAATGTAAGTGGTCCTACTCTGGTGCCCACTCTATCTGAATATATTATTAGGCCTAAAAAATAGTTGTGGTTAGGGTTACCCTACCCTACCTAGCAAAATCTTCTGACCCGAAAGTTGTTTTGACTATTTTCTTGGAAAATGTTGGCGCAGTGATTAGATAGCAACCATATCAGTTTTTTTTTCAGTACGATTCGTTAGCTTTTTCAATAGTCTGTATCACATTTTCAGCTCGAACAAGAAAGGAAAAGACAAACTGAATAAATCTTAATGAAGGAAATGGCATTAAAACAATTAAAATGATGATAGTATGAACAGGTTCCATGATTAAAAAAACAACAACCTACATACCCAACCTATTTTAAATGGACATATTACCCTAACCACGCCATTTTTGTCCTTATTAGGCATGACAGTGTTGAATCCCTAAATTCTTAAGAAGTAAATTGTCTGAAGTCTACAGCCTTTACCAAGCAAGCACGAAATTCGCTGTTGAAATGCCCGAAACAAACATCATATACAACCATTATTTTCATTTTCCCACCAAAAAACTTCTTTAAAATTAAGTGTACTTGCTAACCTTTTACAGTACGCAAATACATTTTACAAATAAAAATGTAAAATGTGTTAAAAAATAAGCCACATGCCAGGCAAAGTTAAAATTGGCTGGGCAAGTTAGTCACCTCACTTCCTGCTCCTCCAAGCAAGTTCATTTTTCACGAAAAAAAGTCCATTCCTTTTTCCCCTATTTTCTGTAGTTTTTGTTTTTTAGTTGTTTAATAGTCAAACTGTTATCCACGAAAAAAGGAATTAAAAAGGCTCCAATGTGAAAAGGAAATAAAAAAAAGTTGACATGCTTGACTTGGGCCATTTGTGAAAGTTTCCATATTTTTTATTAACAACAATCCCAAAATAACAACAAAAAACAACCAATCTGTGGCGGGAAACAATAAAACTAGAGAGGCAAGTTGAAGTTGAGCTGGACTTGCCGTTGAAAAATTATTTCTAACACTGAAAAAAAGAACTTTTGTTTCT